GACATGGACTTTCGAGGATGTCTCGAATGGGGACGCGCTCCGCCGGCTGTACGAGTAGGCCAAGTAGCCCTTCTAGTACGTCGCGGGTAAACTCCCGGAGTCGTACTGGCGAGGCTACGTTGGCCCTACGAGTAGCCCCGCCGGGTGAACACTCGAGGATGCGTCGAGCGGGGTCCTCCAAGCCGGTCGCACTGGCAAGGGACAGCAGCCCTACGAGCACGCCCAGGCCAGGGCCCCAGGGCCATACTGGCAGCCCTGAAGAAGACTTACCGGTCTCCCTCGCCGCCGACCGCACTAGTCGACCGTACTAGCCGTACCAGCACGCCCTGGCCAAACTCCCCAAGGTCGAAATAGCACGGTTACTTGGGGCCCTACTCGTAGCGCCGACGGGATGACCTTGTCTAGGATACTTCGAAGGGGGGCGTGAACGGCCGATCGCGATTGTAAACCAAAATTGCCCCACTAGAACGCCCTGGCCAAGCCCTTGAGCGGCACCACTACGCCAGCACGCCCCTGCGAGACTCCACCCCGAATATTTCCGAATTCTTCACACTCAGAGTCAAAACCACCAGGCCCAGCACGCATGGAAGACAATGCCCGGCGCCATCCCACATGACCGATGCGGCCCAGAGTTCGAATCTACAGCGGTCGGGGCCACATCGCGGTCAGCGACCGCCGCGTCTGGCGCGACCAACAGCGCGCCCACCTCGGCTCCCATGTCTACAGCTGCACACATCGCATGAGAACCCATGCCGACCGCGCCCGCCAAGACTGACGCCGCGCCCGCGAGCGCGCCATGACACTCAGAGCCAGACACGCCCGCGCACACAAAAGCACGCGAGGACCGCAGCGGCGACGCCGTGGACCAGCTCTCGCAGGCGGCGCGCTGCCCCAGTCGGCGGATGGGCAGGCGAGCCTCCACTTTGCGCGGGCAAGAGATAACCGCCCAGCTCTCGCGCCGCACTCTCCATCACCTGCTCGGGGGCCAGCCCGCCCGCCGGCCAAGCCTGGGCAGCGCGCGCGAGAGTGACAGGATGGGTCGCCTTCTCAGACTGCACGAACCGTCCCCCGGGCACTCCCCAGGATGACATCCGCGCTACTGGCGCCGCCAGCGACGACGCCCAGCAACGCCGCAATCCGGAACGGCCCCGCGGGCCGCCCGCGAGCTGACAGCTGCCCCGAAAGGCCCCTCCTCGCCCTGCTCGCTCGCGCGCGCCTCCGAGAACCGGACCGCGCGACCGCCTCGCGCGCGCAGGGGGGGCTCTGCGAGAAGGCCCTGGCCATGCCGCCGATGAACACCGTGAGGCGCGCATCCTGATTCCACTCCATCGACTGCTGCACCGAGACCACGCCGTCGGCGCCAACGTCCAGACGCGGCTGCGCCAACGCCACGTCCCAGGATGGCGCCACGAAGCCGCGCGGTGGAACTCCGCGGCACGACGAGCCCAAAATAAAGCCGATCGGCACGGCATAGAAGACGCCCCGGCAAGGGATGGGCAGGACACCGCCGAGGTAGAACTCCGCCGCCGCGCCACTGAGGCCCCTTTATCAACTTCGCCTCGGAGGCGAACGCGGGCGCCACTTCCATTAGGCGAGCCGCATCATCGAGAAGTCTGGCCCTGTTCTCGCAGGCACAGGGCGCTGCGTTGATCACCTCATCAAGGTAGCTCGTCGGCCGCTGTGCGGCGCGCGAGACAGCGGGCGAGCTGGCGACGCGCGCTGATCCCCTTCGAAAGAGCGCGACAGAGGGGGCGGCGGCTGGCGCTCGATCTCGCACCGCCCGCGAGCCCCACCGGACAGCGCCACGCCATCGCACGCAGGGTGAGCGATGTCAGATCGGAAGCTCACGATTCACCGCGCAGCGCCGACGCCCTCCAGCGGCAGGACGCCCCCGTCTGGAGCCGCGAGAACTTCGGGGCCCAAGCCACGATCCGATTGCCTACGCAAGGCGCGGACAGGGGCCCTCGTCGGGGGCATGGGCCTCAATGTGGACAGTCCAGGCACCGGACGCGGGCGGAGCGGGGGCGCGGCAACGCTATCGATCGGCAATGATCGGGGCATTCTCTCGGCGATCGACGGCTCGCGCCTAGCGCCGGAAGCGCCCCCACGGCGCTCGAGCCCCGCGCCGTCCGCCGCGGGGCGCGGGGGCGGGCGGCCTGGCGGGTCTCCTGGGGATTTCTGCTGGTGGCCCGCGGCCTCCTTCAAGAGGTCCCGCGCGGCCGCGGCGGGCAGCTCGTTGAAGTACGTTTTGGGCCCCTGGTGGTCCACCGAAGAAGAGAAGAAGAAACACCCCGCAAACCGGACGAGACTCCTGAACTTTGAAAGGGGGATAATCATGGGCCCCGTGGGCGGGCTTGGGCGGAAGACAGCCCGCAGGGGAGGAGTGGTGGCGGGTCGATAGATTGCTGTCCTCGTCACAACATATATATATATATAGAGAGAGAGAGAGAGAGAGAGATGTATATGAAAATACGTCGGCTAGGGGGACTGTATAGAGTCGGAGTCGTCAGGAGACGCAGAGAACGAGACTCTGCGCGACGTGCCTCATGACGTCGGATGTCTCACAGAGATGGAGGGTTTCAGGCAGGTGCTGGAAAAGGTGGCAGGCCGCATGAAACAGATCAGCCAGAAGTGACATGCGAAACAGAAGATGGCGCTAAACGAAGAGTCCTCGCTTCGACTCGTTCAACCTATGTTGCATAATATCCCTAGCATTCGACATGGCTTCGGGACTGCTGAATGAACAACTCATGGACTGATATCCCTTGAAACAGCATGTGTATGTATGAGCCCGAAAAGAAGCGATATTGTCCAAGTGACATTGGGCCTGTATCATACGACTGTTCTGTTCAGGCCCTATCTGACGTTTGAAAGAATACGAGTGTCTGATTATGGGTGCCTCCGAAGAGTGAGCCCAGGCAGAGTTCTGACCAGAACTAGCCAGTCAGACAGCCCTTCCCCGCAGGCTAAGATCTGAATGGGGCGTATTAGAAGACAGGCAGATGGTAGAGCACGGCATGAGCAGGTAGCATTCGTCAGCATGTCCGCAGCGTTTGAACCTCAAGCCCAAGCAAAACAGCGTTTCCCTCTTTCAGGAGGAGGAGGAGGAGGAGCAGCAGCAGCAGCAGCAGCAGGAGGGGGACCCTAGCTCGAAAGCGAAACTGCTGAGCTCTGCGGCGAGTTGGGCCCAACAAGCGGTCGGGCTAGCGGCGGGGCGCGTCCGTAGCTAGCTACGGCGGGAACACAGGAGGGACAAGACGGAGGAACCCCCAAAAACAAAGCTCGTCCCCAGCTTGCCGTGCAGTTCCCGAGCTCCCGAAATTCGACCCCCGCAGCTCTCGACGAATGCGCCGCGACTCGGCTTGGACGTCGAGGGGCACCTGGCAATGGCGACGAGGGGGCTCCCCCGGGGCCCAAGATCTAAACACGCTGGCACGGCGGACCCAAACGAAACGCAAACAGAGAATCTGGCTCGGGCGTTGCTTCATGGGGGGGGCAATGAACCAGGGGTGAGCGGAGGTGCACCTTTCTGGACGAGCGCGTTCCACGACTCGCAGAGTAGCTATTCGCAAATGGTCTGGATCCGCCACCACACAAGCCGTGCATCCAGCAGGACGCATTGGCACGGCAACCGCTTAGGGTCGCCAGGATGGAAGATATGAGTACGAATATATCGCTATGCACCACAGAATTCGCGCTGGAAAACAAGAGGGGGAGGAGAGAAGAGTATATCGCAGAAGGTGGCTCAGAGATGTATGCAGAGTTTATACCCTTCTGAAGTCCATTGCTGTCTCGGCCAGCCGCGACGCCTGTGTTCTACTCAAGTTTTTGGCGTGCCATCTGGATGGCATACGATTTGACGTACGAGCGAACCAGGCCCACCTGCTATCTTGTGGTACAATTTTGCTTGTCTGCCAAATAATACTTGGGAAAGGGGTTCGGAGCGGACTCTGGCTAGAACGCATGTGTTTCTCACTCTAAGCGGTGGCAGCACACCCAAAACTCGCTGTAAACATCTGCAGTGGAAGCAAGAGATTCTGCGTCGATCAGCTTGCACTGGCCAAAGAGAGTCGAGCGAGTCCGCCTGGATCCGCCGCGGTGGAGATTCACGATCTAGCACGTCGAGGCGAACATGAGCTTTCCGGACGTTTGTGTGTAGGCGCTTTGCGAGCAGTGGAACGCGCTCGGTGGCTCACCTCGGGGGCCCGAGAGTGGGCCCGTTGGGAGGCACTCTGGGGCCCCTCTCCTGCAGCCCTCGACCCCCCCCCCCCACTCCCAGACCTACGACGTGAGGACGGCTTCGCAACGCCGACCCCCATGGAGGCCTCGACCACTTCTCAGGGACCAGCTCTTCATCAGAGTCCTACCTTCACGATCTTCGGGCCCAGCGAGGGCCCCCGGAGGCCGAAAAGGGCAACAAACCTCCCGCCGTGATTTTTGTCACGACGCGAGGGTGTCTGGGCTCATCCCCCCGAATTACGAGACGCCCGACTGGCCCTCGACAAGTCGGCCACAGAGGAGGAGGAGGAGGACGAGATAAGCGGAGGAGGAGGAGGAGGAAAACTCATCCCCCATCGCCCGACCCGATCCCCTCCCCCCTCGGTTAATCAAAGCAACTCGGGGACGCACTGACCTGGGTCAGCACAAACCCAGGTCGGCCAGGGCTCTGTCCCGAGGCCTGGCCGGCCGCTGAGAGGCTCCCAAACCTGGACCAGCGGAAGGCGCCCAAACCTGGGTCAGCCAGGGGGGATTGGCTGACCCCCGTTAGCGCTGACCCGCGCTACGTGGGCCCCAACGTCATGTTTGTTTCATGACGTGGACCCCTGGAGGTCTCGACCCATGCCCCAGGATCGGTAGTCGTTGCTCAACGGTCCCGGCGCCCAGCGAGGGGCCCCAGAGGCCGAAAACTGCAAAAGACCTACCGCCGTGGTCTTTTTCTGACCCGCGCGGGGCTGGGTCACGCGGGCCCCGATCGAATATCTGGCCCTCCCCGTGGAAGCCTCCGGGCTCCCGTCGGCCAGCTGCACCACCAACGCGGGCGCGGCGGCCGCGCCCAGGCGCCTCAGCGCCTCCGAGGCCGCCTGCTGCACCGGGAGCCGCTCGTCCCCGAGCCGCGCCGAGAGGGCGCCGGCGTAGAGGGCCGCCGCGGGGCCGATGTGGCCCAGCGCCTCCGAGAAAGGAGCGGCCCCAGACATGCCCGCGTCGCGGAAGAAACACGACGGAAGGCTTCTGGCCGTCTTCGGCCTCCGGGAGCCCTGGGCGGGCCCTGGGACCGTCGAAAAACGGCGCGGGACGAGAAGCTGTCCCTGGGGAAAGTGCAGGGGCGTACGGGGGCCCCGTTTCGACAAAAAAACGAAGACAGTGACCGAGCGACCGAACGAGCGAGTGACCGAGCGACCGACCGAGCGACCGAGCAACCGAGCGAGAGAGCGACCGAGCGACCGAGCGAGCGGCCGAGGGACCGAGCGAGCGGGTAGGGCGACGCCTGTGGCCGAGCGACCGAGACAGAGCAGGCAGGGCGCTGTTGCAGGCAGGCTGCAGCAAAGCGCACGCGCCCGGTGCCCGCCGGGGCTCGGGGCGCGCGGGGCCGCAGTCTCTTCAGACGCCGCAGGAGCGGGCTCTCGCGCGGAGGGGCCACCGTGGCCTCCAGAAGGGAGGAAGAGGAGAAGGAGGAGGAGCAGGAGCAGGAGCAGGAGCAGGAGCAGGAGCAGGAGTAGGCGGAGTAGGCGGAGGAGGAGGAGGAGGAGGAGGGCAAGCATGCCAAGAATAGACTTGGTTTGGTCTGCGGCGAGTTGGGTCCAACAGGCGGTCAAGCCAGCGGCGAGACGCATCCGCTGCGAAGTGAGAACACAAGAGCGCGAACAAGCGATGGGTAAGGCTGGCGAGGACAAGGCTACCCAGAGTACGGAGACCTACGGTCGGGAACTTCTGCTCAGCGTGTCGCGGCGGCGGCCCCGGCGAAACGCTGTCTTGCGAGGAGTGGATAGCGTGTCGCTCCTTTTCCTCCTCCTCGTCATCCGCTTACTCCTCCTCCTCCTCCTCCTCCTCCTCCTCCTCCTCCTCCTCCTCCTCCTCCTCCTCCTCCTCCTCCTCCTCCTCACGCCTGCCTCCTCCCCTTTTCCTCCTCTTTTTCCTCCCCCTCATTCTTTTCCACGTTATCCCCCTCCTCTTTCCTCCTCATCCGTCTCCTCCGTTTACTCCTTTTCATCCTCTTGTTCCTCCTCAAATTCCTTATCCATTCTCCCCCTCTTGGGGTACGGCGTCTTACCGCTACCCTGGATTATTTTCCAAATCCCTGATCAGGGCAGCTCGTCTGGGCATCGTTTCTGGATGGGCTGGCGGGGTTATGCGAAACGTTCAGAATATGCCAGACGCCCACTGCTTCTCATGCTTAACAAAACAGGAATGCATTGCGGAATGATTCAGGGCTGTCACAGCGCAACAGCTACGTTGCTTAGCGGCGTTAAAATCCCAAGAATGGCGTTTTGGCGCGACTCGGGATCGCCAAGACGCAACAGTCAGGTTGACCCGTGGAGCTGAAGTCCTGAGAATGGTGTTCTGGCACGCTGCCGGATTTTCACACGGTCGTCCCCCAACAGGGCACTTCCCTCACTGGAAATGAACTCTTGTAGGGGCTTCTGAAGAAGGAGATTGTAGGGCGGGTGTATTCCAACATCGTTGACGAATCTTGGGTTTACACTGGTCTTCCTCCTCCACTTCCTCTTTTTTCTCCTCTTCTCTTCTCCACTCATACTCCTGTTGTTGGTCCTCCTGATATGATGTTCCTCCCCCTCGCTCTTGCTTCCGACAAGTGCGCACGGCGACCACAGAATACGAAAACAGCTGTGCGCGGCCGTCGCGAATCTTCCGCGCCAACCACGCCGACTGCAACGACCGAGCGCATGGGTGGAAGTCGCTCCTGTGCCCACGAGAGGCCAACAGCGTGAAAGCAAGTATTTGGGGTAAGCCTGTCGAGTTGCGAATGCAAACGGCCGCAATGATACCGGATGTGTCCACGATGGCGCGGAAGATGTGCCGACCTATCTCCTGCACCGCAAAAGCGCGCCTGCTTCCTCCTCCCCATCCACCTCCGCCTCCGCCCCATCCTCCTCCTCATCCTCCTCCTCCTCAGACTCCTCCTCCTCCTCGTCCTCCTCCTCCTCCTCGTCCTATTCCTCCTCCTCCCTCCTCCTCCTCCTCCTCCTCCTCCTGCTCCTCCTCCTCCTCCTCCTCCTCTCCTTTTCCTCCTCTTCCTCCTCATCCTCCTTTTCCTCCCCTCCCCCTCCTCCTCCTCCTCTTCTCCTCCTCTTCCTCCTCCTCCTCCTCGCCCTCTTCCTTCTTCTCCTCATCCTCGTCCTCCTGTGTTTCCGCCTTTCCCTCTTTTTGTTCCTTTTCCTGCTTTCGCTCCTTTCTATGTGTTCCTCTTGTTCCTCCTCCTCCTCCTCCTTCTCCTCCTCCTCCTATTCCTCCTGGAGCTCCTCCTCCTCCTCCATTCCTTCTCCTCAGAAATTACGCTACCGAGGAACCCCACATACTCATTTTATGTCACGTGTGTTCACAAACCATGTCACATCCCGCTTCGCCATCCTCGATGCTCGAAGCCGATCCTGGTGAGGAATGTGCCAGCCACTAGTTCTCGCACGTGGCCCCCAGGATCGATTCACCTGCATTATCTTCATCATTGTCCTCCGCCTCCTCTTCCTCCTCCTCCTACTACTACGACTACTACGACTACTACGACTACTACGACTACTACGACTACTACTACTACTACTACTACTACTACTACTACTACTACTACTACTACTACTTCTACTACTACTACTACTACTACTACTACTACTACTACTACTACTACTACTACTACTACTACGACTACGAATACGACTAATACGACTACGACTACAACTACGACTGCGACTA